GGGGTGTTCAGTTGCCCACCGATGGGCTTTGAGTCTTCACTCTGCACTCACCCACCTTTACAATGATATGATTTTTTGCTGAACCAATTTCTTAATAGCATTTCCATTCTACCAGGGATAGGGCTCGCTGCCATTGAGTCGATGTTGACTCGTAACAACTCTATAGGACAGGTGGGTTTTGGAGACTGTAACTCTTTATGGGAATAGAAATCCTCATCTTTCTCACAAGGAGCAGCTGGTGGGTATGAATTGCTGACTTTGCAGTTAGCAGCCCGATGCATAACCCATTATACCAGTAGGGGTCCTGCAGGATAGGGCTAGAAATACACCATCTACAGAATAAAGGAGTCCCTGATGGTGGGGTAGACAGGCATATACGTACAGACAGGCATGTCCATACAGAAACACCGGACATGTTTACTTAACGATGATTACTTAACCATCGCTTAGCCCTGAACTTATTAACTAGGGTCTTAACTAGTGACAAAGCTAAACATGGCTCTGTCTTCATGAAGCTTCCAGCCTAGTGGGAGAAACAGACAATGGAAGAAATGCACATGAGTAATTAATTGCACATTTGATACCTGCTCCGAAGGGAAAAGCAGGTGTGGTGATGTCAAATAACCAGAAGACCTCCGGTAGACAGGGAGTCAGTCACTTGAAGAGAGGAGAGAAGAGTTTTGAGGAGGGGCTTGGTGTGTTAGGCTGGGTTCTCTCTCAGAGAGAAAAATGAAAAAAAGAAGCGCACTGCCATTGAGTTGATGCCCACTTATACCAACCCTCTTGGACATGGTAGAACTGCCCCTGTAAGTTTCTGAGACTGTAACTCTTTATGGGAGTAGAAAGCCCCATCTTGCTCCCAGGGAGCAGATGGTGGTTTCAAACTGCTGACCTTGTGGGTCGCAGCCCAACATGTAACCACTGTTCCTCAGGGCTCCGACAGGCTGGGTTCTCTAGAGAAGTAAAAGCTTGAAATACTTCTGTCTATCTATCTAGACATATAGAGATAGACAGATTTTTATTGATACAAATTCCCATCTATCTAGAGAGAGGAACTTGTGTCGAGAAAATGGCTCACATGGTTGTAGAAGCAAGCATGTCCAGTTCAAGTTTCATGGTAGCTTCTAACTCAGATAGCTTTGGGGGCTGATCAATACAACGACCACAGGCAGATATCAGGCTGCAGAGGTGGATGAAAGCAAGATTGGCAGGTCAGATGGCAGCCCACTGATGGCTCCCAGGGTCAGCAGGCAATATGGTGAGCCACTGGTTCCAGTCCAAAGAACTGGAGGTGATGAGCCAGCTGCAGGATCCAGACCCAGCAAAAAGCAAACAAGCTTTTCCACAATGTCTGGCTATGTAGGAAGTAGGTCATACCCCTGAGGAAACTTCCTTTCAATTGAATCAGGACTCTGATGTAAGTAAGGGGGTTGTGTTCCACCGTAATGTCCTTACAGCTGGTTGCTGACTCACTGCAGATCCTATTATGGAGTTCATTTGTTTTGTATCATGTCCCACCAAAGGGAATTACTGGTCTTCACTGCTAACTCACTGAGAGTCCTGGCCCAGGCAAGTGGACATAAAACCTAACTCTCATACTCACCATGTGCAAAGACTCTGAGGAGGAAAGGAGTTGGGAGTCGCTGAGAACTAGAGATGAGCCTAGGGCGTCGGGAACCTATTGAGCCAAGGAGAGAGGAAAGAGTTGAGTTCAGAGAGGTGAGCAAGGAGAAGGTCATGTAGGGGCTTGTAGGTCGGGGGAAAGAAGCGAAATGGGAGCCACTGGAGGGTTTAGGTAAAAAGTGATGATCTGAGGAAGCCCCGAGTGGCACAAACGGTGATTCAAGCCCACCCAGAGGCACCTTCCAAAGGATCAGCCATTGGAAACCAGATAGGGTACCATACTGCTCCGACACATGAGGCCACCATGAGTTAGAATCGACTCACTAGCAATTGGAGTTTTAAATATATATAGTATCTGACTTAGGCTTTTAAAAGCTCACCCTGTCACCCTGACTGCTGAGTGCAAAGGAGGTGACAAGGTGGGAAGAGGGGCAGGCAGACACAGGAGTCCTAGGAGAAGGCCACTGCCGTCACCTAGGTCAGAGACGGTGAGGGGGAGGCTAAGGTGCAGAGAAGCAGATGGATTCAGATCCACTGTGTGTATGGATGGGGCCGGGAGGATTGTGGGACAGCTGCTGCTGCGGCTCAGCCTTGCTGAGACAGTTTCAGTGGACTTCCTGCAGGAGGTGGCCTTTCAGTGAGGTCTCCAAGGATCCCTTTGGGACGGGAGGACCCCAGCAGGGAAAAGGCCTATAGGATAAAGGCAAAGCAGTATTAAAAAAAGAAAAGGGGAGAGGGGGTGTCTTATTTCTTATAGTAGGGAAAGGTTAGGGAGAGCCGGAGATGTCTAGAGTCAGAAATTCAAAAGTTAGAGAGGCCAAGCTGCTGTTGACAGCTGGAAGGACTTAGGTTAAA